GATAAATAAATCTGCCAAGTTTGATCAAAATATATCCATAACAAGCCAACTACTACGGTTACAATATTGTCCATAAGAATAACATTGGAATTTTAAATGAAAAATGTTTTTATTTTCTCAATAACCAATAACCGTTCAAAAACACTTTTACCGTTCAAAAAACCTAGGTACTCTTAAACAATGTTGATTAATAGATTAATTGAAAATCAATCCAGGCAAATGGAAATTCGCTTAGTCGACAGGATTGCTGCACCGGGGGTATTTATATAGTGGAAACATTCCTATGGACTAATTACATTGATTTGTTGTGTTTTTATTTGCATAAAAGAGTGTAATGGTCTTATTTTAAGTAAAATAGTTGGTGAAATCGTAACATGTAGCAATTTTAAAGACATCATAACCGGAAACTGCAGTGGCTCCAGACGTGACACCCGAGTTAAAAACACTTCTTTAGACACATACATCAACATTGAATGGTAAAACTGTCTATATATGACTCGTACACAGCCATCGATGTCGGATTTATATGCGTTTTTGCGCCAAATTAGGTTGTTTTGTACGATTTTCTAGTTTCTTGACGTGATCCTTTGAGTAAAGCATATCGAATATGGTATTTTTGTAAAGCTCTTTTAACGTGCTACAACTTTGTCTTTAAGTTATTTCTGATATATTGTATCAATAAAACGTTATTGACAAAAACAACACAAAAATGTTTAAAAATATAGGTTTTTGCAAAATTACGAAAAATGTACTAAACACACAACAAAAGTGTAAATGTAAGAAAGATAGCATGTAAACTTATCTTTCAAACAAAAAAAAGTTCATTCCGATCCGATACATGGTATGTAAAATATAGTTATTTTTAATATAGCCCTTTCCGCCATTTTAATGACGTCATAACCGGAAACTGCAGTGGGTGCAGACGTGACACCCGAGTTGAAAACACTTATTTAGACACATACATCAACATTGAATGGTAAAACTGTCTTTATAAGACTTGCGAACTGCCCTAGATGCCGGACTAATAGGCGTTTTTGCGCCAAAATTGGTGTTTTTATGAGATTTATCTAGTTTTTTGACGTAATCTTTAGAGTAAAACAAATCGAATTTGGTATTGTTGTAAAGATTTTTAAACGTTCTACAACTTTTTTTATTGGTGGTTTTTGATAAATTGTATCAATAAAACGTTACAAGCAAAAATAACACAAAAATATTTAAAAATACAGGTTTTTGCATAATTACGAAGAATGTACTAAACATACAACAAATGTGTAAATGTAAAACAGGTAGCATTTAAACTTATCTTTCAAGCAAAAAAAAGTTCATTCCGATCCGACAAATAGTTTGCGAAATATACGATTTAAAAAATCAATGGCCGCCATTTTGATGACGTCATAGCTCGAAAACGTACCAGGTGCGAACTTGACACCCGAGTGGAAAACACTTCCTAAGACACCTATATTGAAATGCAAAAGCAAAATTCTCTATACACGACATGCACACAGAACCCTAGTCAGGTCCTGGACTATTACCACGATAACTCGAGCTGAAACGGATTTTGATGAAAGTTTGTACAAACGGGTAAACCTACATTTATTGATCGAAATCGCGATAAGACCATGCTTAATTCTTAAAATTATAATTATAATTCTTAAAATTTGATACTATTTAAAAAATATTAAAGTTTAACTCAAACATGAGTGTACATGAATTTTTAGTTGAAGAAAAAGCCTATAATTCAAGACCAAGATAATTAAATAGGACATATGATACTAAAGTTATTCAAGTATTTTAAAAATTATAAAAAAAACTTTAGTTTTCAGCTAATACATTTTATTGGCCATATACTGTAGGGAGATATATAAATGTTTTCCTATATTCCTTTAATTAGTTTAATTGCAACCTAAATACATTACATTTAAAAGGATAACGCTAAAAATAAAAATAAATCAAGTGGCCGGGGTGAATCCCCTTATGACAAGCGTACAAGTTTGAGAAAACATGATAAATTGAAAGCGCTTGTATACTCCAAAGTTTGATGTAGGCTACATAAAATATACCAATCCACATTGACACATGATTATGGCGCTATTGATATTTATTGTAACAAGTTCGTTTTAAATATTTCGTAATCGTTGGATTGATAAATAACTGTTTGGTGATTTCACACCAATTAAGTGTATAAAGTCAAGGACAATCAGAATTAAATTGATAAAACGGTTACTTCGCACAAACAATAAGGGTGGATTGAGCTGGGAAAGCGGATTTCTTCTGGGACTGATCTTACTTAAAGGGAGCGGAGAGCTGAAAAGATTCAATTGAAGTGATTTCGGCAAACTTATTACTAATTACAAATCACTAATGGGATTGGGCTGCACTCACTGCAAAATTAATTTCTATTCAAATGTAGATTACCTTTTCCTTTACTGAATGTTATCAAGAATGGAGCGAATGTTAGTATTTTCTTCAATATTATACAGACTCAACATTGGATATACACTATGCAGACATAATTTAACGAGTAATCGCTCCCAAGTTTACTTATGAAATCATAAGCGGATTTTAAATAATTTTCCAATTTTTCTATCACCTTTTTATTTACAAAGATAAACAAAGCTTCAACAACATTGTGCATTATATTATAACTCTCTGAAATTAATGTTTACTTCTAACAAAAATGGTATTTTAAGGATAATTAATTTATTGGTACGCAGCTTTAGATGCAAAAAGTAGGAATGGTTAAACAGATGTGGGTCATCCTTAGCTGTTAATGTTTTGAACTTTTACTGATCAAATATGTTCCTGTATTCAGTAATCAGATTAAGTATAGCTATAACTACGCAAAGAAACTAATAGTTGTTTGAACTGACTATATGCTATCAACTCGTCATTTTTGAATGTATTTATATCTTGTAGTTTTCACGAAGCTCTCGCGCAAGCTCTCGAAGAAGTTGAGGCTAATACTACAGCAGTAGGCTAGGCCTATTGATTAGTGTGGCTGTGGCAATGTTGTAAACAACCAATATAGGTCCAACTGTAAGTTCCGCGATATCATCTATTTCCGTAACTTCGAGCAAAATTGAAATTTTAAAACTTCATTAAGTTAGTTCTACAAATGAATGAATTTCCAAAGAGCACTAAGATAACACCCTAAACTCCTGAGGCTTTTATCCTATTACATTACATATCAAGTAGACTCTACCAATTATTAATATTCTCCACAGTAAGTTACTTGAAGATGTTTACTATCTAAGTACTCTCATAGATCATATCATTGGCATAATCCACGCCATGGGAGCATAGTGCCTCATGCTTTGGCCGTAATAAATAGTTTTATTGATTTCACATTATTTTGTACTCTTAATGATTTAAAGAAGATAACAACTTACTTTTGTACTTTTTGCAAAGTATGTATCACGAATGGCTTGAGACATTCAACACACATTTAAACTATCATTCGTTGACTGAGAAGTTCCTCATTCGAGTACAATATGTCTGATATTCTGCTGAGGTGATGTTCCACAAGAGAGGCGAGGATTTATAAGGCACTGAGAGGGCGCTTCAACAACCTCGTCAACTGCAGAAGTCATTAAATGGGCAATCAGGCCTCCAAACGCTCGTTTACACAAAATATCCTCAAGTTCTGTCATAACATACAGGCTTGTAATTAGTTGTGCCGTAAAACGATCTGAGTCAAGAGTAATTCTGCCAGACGCGAACTTTCTGGATCAGAGGAATACTTTTATTCTTGAAGTCAAGGTAACATTGTAAACTCTAAATCCCATAAATTTGTTATTGTTTTTTTATACTATTACTCTACAGAGTTGATTTCGTCCCACCTCGTCTGTTGATGCTAAATTTGGCAGAGTTTAAAATAATTATTAGCTGTTACCAGTTTTAGTAGATTTTTGGGCAAGCATAAGTAAACAAAAATACTAGCCTATCTATTTTATCACATTTTATGAAACATAAATACAATTTTAACATATATTTATGGCATACAAGATAAAAAAAGAGGTGTTTAACGCAATCGTTATGCTGTGTTCCCACTCTCGTCGATGCCTACGGAAGCATATAAGAAGACGGACTTGTTGTAATACTTATTCATGTTATTTGAGAAATTACTTGTGAGTAAAATCTTAAAAATCAGATAGCAAAATTTAAGAACGAGCATTGCACAATCGTGCAGCTTTGGGTTATTTTGTATGAATGACAGTCCGACGGGCGATGGCGGACATCACATGTGCTTCAGGTCTCAACCTTCATTAATATATACTACCTTCATTCCTTCACCACTACCTCTCAGAAACTCTCTCGCTTTTTCCTTCAATTACGATTGTCATTGAAACAGATATGCTAACAACTCTATAGGGAAGCGTAATCCAGGCACACTTCAACCGTATATTACACAGTAGTGGAAATATACCACACAGATTAGTACAGTATACTGCTAAATTTATGCTTATAAAATTTATTTATATTAGCTTCCTTAAAAATATCCATTGCCTTAATCGTTTGATGATAACGTTGGATTAAACATTACGTTTAATTTACTTTGATTTTCTCTACGTAAATTTTGGATATACCAGGTTGATAATTACAGAGACTTTTGTTTGATTTTAAATTATTTATATCCTAGTTTAAGGTTTAAAAACAAATTTCCTAGTAGCCAGGTGAGTAGCCATGTGGAAATGTGCATGTGCTGCCACTGTGCTGCCAGTTGAAGTTATAATTACTTCTTGCACATAGATTTTATATTGATCAATCGAGTAGCAACGATTTGGCCAATTCATGCATAAAATCAAGTTACATGTACCTACTTGTTGTTAATGGTTTAATATATTTGAACTTGGACTTAAACGTGAATTAGACTCCCGACAAAACTAATTAAATGAACATTTGTTTGATAATGATTTTTTATGTTTTTTAATTGTGATTTCTGTAGATGCAATTAATTGTAATTTATATTAATTAATATTCTTAAGGAAAAACTTCACACCAACACAGAGTAAACGTTTATTTATCTGTCAATAAAAAAATAAAGAATGACTCAAAAGTTAGTTTTTCCACCTGTTCAAATCGAAGTTCAAGCTACTCAGTCCCTTCAACTTGCCTGTTTGCGAGTATTGCCACAGCTTGTATCCTTTCTTCTTCCATATGCTGAGAATAGTCGGTTCAGCGGCGCTAGTGTAGTGGGCAATCCAAAGGTTGTAAGAGCTGAAATCATTGCTGTATTTATTCCACAAAACTTTGTTTTCCATGTTAGGCGCAGAGTAGATGTAGATATTCTTATATTTGGTTTTCAACTTGTCAAGAAGACTTTTCAACGTGTCAGCCATTGCGGCCGCCGATACTTTTTCATTTCCTGTCCCTTCTACGTCAATAGCCAAGATATGCTTGTTGGGATCAAAGTCTACTCTAGCCAGACACTTGTTGATCAGTGACTCTTGCGAGTCGGCTGTTCGGTCGCCTCTAAAGTAGTGATAAGCCCCCAACTGCTCCACATTGTTGGCCTTCATTTGCTGCCAGTTCCTCACAAACTGACGATCTCGCCATCCCCATAGATTGCCCTCGGACACCTTAGCGATGGCACCGACCACCCCAGCAGCCTTCACCTTGGCCCAGTCGATGTTGCCGTTATAATGGGAGACGTCTATGATCAAGTTCCCTGAGACCCATGCTATCTGAAAATTGTAAAATTATATTATACAATTGCTCGCCCTTCGAACATAAATTGTGTGCCTTAGTTTCACCACGAACATTATTCTCTAAAAATAGTTTCAATACTAATCTAATGGTTTAGTCTGAAAATTTACACAAGTCAAAGATCTCGTTAATGTGCTAATATTAGCGTATAGTATATGGTACTAAATAATTACTGTTCATCAAGCATCACAACAATCATAGATTTGTCTTAAATATCCTAATTTAGATTTACTTATAGACCGTACTGAGTAAAATATGTTTTTGTTTGGCCAGATTAGGTCTACTTGTTTGGTTATTTTACTCGTTATAATTTTACTTTTATGTACAATCTCAGAATAATGATCGCTTCTTGCCGCCGAAACTTTACCTCTACTACCTCTCTCATTAGTTTATGGTGTAACTTGCAAACAATAATTCTGCTATTTAAACATGGAGGTTATTATATCTAGGTCTTACCATTACCATAACGGCAATAAGACAGTCTGATTCCCTATTTAAAATAATCTAATACTATTCTAACAACCAGCCTGAATTATGCTCTGAATTAGACATACTTACAAGGGATGAAAACACAATATGCACCAGCCACATGCTGTCTGATTGTACTGATTCTTCAGCTCCTCTCCTCAGCTTTTAAATACGAGCCCTAGCTTTCTGTGTTGTCTGTAGTTCGTCTGTACAGTAGTTTGTTTGTTGTTTGTCTTTCAGTCAATGTCACACATTCATGTCAGCTAACATGAACGTTGAACATTAATCAACATGTGCGAAATCTACACTTACCTGACATTAGATTAGGTGGTTTTTGTTCCTACTGAGTTTATTCAATATTCCGATAGCTATATAAGTAGGCCTACCTATCACAAACATTAACACACCTACAACATTAACTTTTTGCTTTAAAACAAAAGTTAATCCTCGTTTAAATTTGGATTTATTCACCACTGTGGTAAAACTGGAATGATTTGTACAAAATCAACCATTCCTGGAGTAGTGATATAGCTGTATTCTACCATTGACTAAGGAAATAAAAGTTTCCTTAAAGCTTTAAGGAAGTATTATCTATGACATATTATCTTTTGTTTCCCTTGTCTCTTATTCTACAAAACTGTTATCAATGCCATTTTCATTAGTAGTAGTAAGTTGATGAGTGGTAGGATTAGTGGTAGGAAAAATCTGTGTATCACGAACACTTACAGTCATTGCCGCTCTCGAAATGTATGGCCACACTATTTACAGTTCATGATTGGCAATGACGTATTTTACGATACAGTACACAAATAGCTATTTCTTCTTGTGCTGACTGTGTCTTTTAGATTGAATGTCTCTTCTTGGATTAACCACGACAACTCAACATGGTGTTTTAAAAAGCTCAAAAAATAGAGTATATTGTAGGTGGAAGATTTTTTTGTTTACTACGGATTTGGTTTGCTTACAATAGTTGATCTATTAGGTACTAGACTCACACCTGAAAACCTAATTTTTAGTTTTTAGCTTTAGTTTTTCTTTGCAAAAAATAATTTACTTTTAACATACTCTCTGAATTTGGGCTATGAAGAAAGAAAATTCTGTATGTAAAACGTGATAAGTTGAAAAGTGCGTAATATAACTCTAGACTAACTACCTTGTTGTCAGACTACCAAACTACCTCGTAAACTACCTCGTAGCGCGCAGTACTAAAGTAGGCAACTGGAAAATGAAACATAAAAGCCAAGACAAAAATAACAACCAATTGTTGAATTTTCTAAGTTTTATAAATGGAAGAAAAACGTAATTAACTGGTAAAATTAGTAGGGAAGAGGGCTAGAACATTCATTATGCTAAGGGTGTACCTAGAGTTAAGAGTCCTCTCTTGTAGTCACTGCTGCAGGCTTCATTAGATCTTGTACGTTTTTAAATTATTTGACATTAAATTAAATATTTTTTAGAGAACTTTACAGCAGAGAAGTATCTTTATTAGAGCCAAATTTTAAACATTAATAAACGGATAAAATCAATATTTTAAGAATCAATTCGTTTACAAGTCTGAGTCAACTAAATACTGTAATGGCAGATTTTCGTACTAAAAAATACTTTTTATATTAAAGTGTATGACAAAGTTTATGTTTTATTCTTTTTGATTCAGCTTAAAAATACAGATTCATTGCGTACAGTACAGTAGGCCTACTTTCATTCTTCACCGATTGGTTATACACTGTATTGAAACCTATGCTTCTGATAATATTACTTTTTAGCACGTACCTTCATAACGTTTGAAAAACCGCTTTATTTAATGACTTCGAAAAATTAAACCAAATAGACCTAACTATACCTAATAGCGGAAAGCCTAAGTTCAAGTGCAACAATGGTGCTACTCCCCTTAGAACTTAGCGGCAAATTGAAACTTTCCCCAATAAGGAGAAGATTACAACGAACAATGACCCGACGCCACAAAACGTACTTGATATATGAAAGGTAGTAATTCTAGTCTGTAGTAGTCTAACTATCTCTCTGGACCACGAGCACTCACAGCGGTTCCGTGGTGTAGTGGTTATCACATCTGCTTTACACGCAGATGGTCGCCAGTTCGATCCTGGCCGGAATCATATCTTTTTGTCTACACAATCCAACCAGCACTTCTTTTAAATACAATTTTCACCACACTACGGTGTTTTTAGCCGTTTTAACAAACGTTAAATCATAAAAAGCTAATTGTACGCGTAGAATTATAGGGTCTGAAACTGTTGTGAAGTTACAGCCAGTGAAAAATTGTGTTCATAATATTATATATCTCTTTTCCTATAGCTAGAAATGATAGAGCTTCGTTGAGTGGAGCCCGAAATTACCGAAACTTATTATTGAAATTGGACATGGTATTGTAAGAAACTGGAGTAATCTACATAAAAAAAAATCCTGAAGACCGTTTAGTGGTTATCCTAAATGTAAGAATGAAAAAAATCAATATAACAACATAATTTATTTAACTAAGTAGTTTGCGTTCGAGCAAAATCTGAATCGGAATCTAAAACCAGAATTGTTTGTTTTAACTTAAAGTGCCTGCCACAAACCACCGTAGAAATATAGTATATTAAGAAAACTTTGTTCTAAAAAAAAAGAAAAAAAATGTTAACTATTTTTTTGCCTTATGCATCAATTGGACCTCACCGACAAGTTTTTTAAACTTGGTGAGGCCAAGCTGTTGTAATTTCCATAGTAAATATATTTGAATTTGAATTTGAAATGAAGAATTCATTCCGGTAAGCGGCTCGAAAACCAGCAGCCACTACGGCCACTTCCGTACTAAATTATCAGATAAGTAGGCCTATACATCAGTTTATTGTAATTGTACGTAACCTTTACAAAATGTCGGCGCTCCATCTATTCGAATAGGTAAATTACGTTGCTTCGGGGACAGTCAGACAGAAAACAGTTAACTCTTTAATAATTTAATATCCGTGCCAACCGCAGTCGTAAACCTTCAAAAAGCTATTTACATTAAATATAATATTATATAATACCGGTACATTCAATATAATATTTACATTGAAGTTTTTTTCTTTTTGTGAACCTTTCCACAAGGACACTGTTACCAAAGTGCTCTATTAATTTCTTTTCTGACGGAACTATTTTTCAAAGATTTCTCCATTAGTTAACGCAAACATTTAAAATCAAAAGGTCCAACCAGCCAAACAAAAAAAAAACTAAATCAAAAGTTGTTTGTAAAATTTCTAGTGTGCCATAGGCCGACAAGTTACGAACCAAGTAAATATATAACAAATTATTGTTATACAAAACGTTTCGTATACAGATACGGAACAATAGTTATTGCAAATTTAAAGTGAACGCCTTCGACTTACGACTTTATATTCTTCGAACACTACGGCTTGCCTTGTACGTTTACTTTGTTGAAGGAGCTTGCATAATCTCCACACTTTATTATATACAGAGTGTCCCACGAAGACGTGTAATTTTGTGTTACTTGCCGATTTAGGTACAACATATTTTGAAACCTACACGATTTGTTAAGTGACTTTAAAAAATATTCTTGGAAAATTTTAGCTCCCTTACCTTCTTGGAACAAAATGATAATACTTCCAATCTTGTATTAAAGAGATATAGTAAAATGATTATTTATCTGTAGCCTACTACAAAAGTTAACAATGCAATTTATGCATTATACTCTTTTGTTAACTACATAAACACTTAATTACGGACACAAATGAATCAAAGCAACTACCAAACCACAATAAAGATTTAGGAGTTACCAAGTTAGTACGAAGTCAAATTTGATCAGAATGGAGCGGGGTTAAAATGGGCAAAACCTTTTTGTTGGGTCCATTTGGCCTATGGAAGAAGCCAACAAATGGGACGTATAAGGAAGATAGTCGTACGGGTCCATTGTGACGAGCATTGAGACAGGGTATTGCTTGGCAAATAGGAAATGTTAATTTTGGTCTAAGTATTATTGGATGTTACATTTAGCTGAGGCTTTTATCCGATTGAATTCTACTCAAACTCATTGTTTTTGTATTGTTTTTATTTTCCGGTAGCCGAATAGTTTAATTCATTTAATAGTTTTACCCAAATATGATATTGCAATTATTGCAATCCCTACTGGTTTTAAGGAAGAAATATTTACAGAATGTTGTATAAGCCGTTTGTGAAACTAATATTGATTCACATGTATGAAAAGTTAATTTTAGCCACTGATGGTTTGCGAATCAAGTTCAAACGTATAACTTACGACAGTTTACTTATCACCAGAGGCTATATTAAATAGTGATGTAACATCCTTTTAATATGTATGATTAATCTTATCAATATTACATCAATATACTGTTGAACTTTATTAGTTTATTACATGCAGTATTTAGCATGGAAAATAATTCAATATATGAGACTTTGGAGTCTAATTTAGGTTAGCACAAAATTTTTTAGTCCCTTGTCAAGTGTCCGTTAATACATAAGCTCAAACATTTAATTAGTTATCTCATTTTGATTTGGATTTCCCTATAGGAGAGTAGTGGTTACTGTAACAGTCATCGTTAGTCTTACGTCCGGGACCACTTTACTTTTTCATTTTATAGCCCCTAGAAGCAAAATGTTTTATAAATATATATGTAAAATATACAATTCGTATGTGCATTGTCTGTATGTTTGGTAACTCTCGTAAAAATTTTCCGATTTTATGAAGTTTGAATTGAACATGTGAACCTAAATTTCAACCAGCTTAATTTGCACGATACATTAGGCCTATCATACGTCCGTGGTTACTGAGAGAAAAAATATTAAACGTCATACGTTATTTCTTATGGAATTTTAAGTAGGTAAAATAAATTATTATTCTTTTAATTAATTGCTACAGAATACCTCTCTTTAACATAAAGGTAAAATTTCCTTATTCCAATGATGGCTATATGTAGTATTAATATACAGTTTTTTGTACATTTTTTGCTTTATCCCATTTTAATTCAAAAAGATTATTGAAACGTTCAAAGGAAAGCTTTATTAAGAATCACGCCCTGTATAATAAAATGGATTGGTTATTTGGTATTCTATCATGAGGAACATTAAACGTTAAGTTTTTACCAACAGGCTTACTTGAATAATTAATCATTAACAATATACTAATATTATAATGACAACTTGAAGCATCAAAAACATATAATTGACCTGATCCAAGGAATTATAAGGTGTTA